TTTTGGTAGGATTTTTAATTTCGAATTTTGAATTTTTGAAATTTGAATTTTGATTAAATTTGGTAGTTGAGTGATTTAAGGGATCTGATTAATTCTGAGAGATTTCAAATTTTGTAATTGCTTTATAAAAGCATGGTTGTAATCAGAATGGAGGATGTTGAATTATTGAGAAAAAAAAACATGTGAGTTTTCTGAATGAAAATTCTCCTCTTCGTATTTGGTGTGTGAAACCCAGATATTAAAACTAGGAGTGTGAAACCCTAGTTCTCTACCCAAGTTACTACACTATCCTACCCACCCATCCAATCCCCAAACTCATCACAGCCGTCCATTTTATAAAAAAAAAACAAACAAAGAAACCCTAACCCTCCCCCTTGCAGCCGTCAGACCCAATCCCCTTTCCCCTCCTTCCCCAGCACCGCCATTTTCCCCCTCCTCTCGTTGGCCCTGCACGTCGCCCCGCCGCCATCAGTCACCTCACCGGACAGCCCACCGCCGTCCTCACCTACCTCCTAACAGCCCGCCGCCATTCTTCATCCTCCAGTGTCGATTCGTCCTTCCTTTCCTCAGATCGAAGAAAAGACACCAAGAAGAGGATCTTTAGATCTGGTTTTGTGTGAACAGATCGGACACCGGTGGTGTTTCATACTTGATTCAGTACGATGATGGTATAATTTCGTTCAATTATCTTTCTGTTAATCTCACTTCATTAGCTAATTGCATGAATAATTTACCTCTAAACTCTTATCATATATTCACTGTTTAAATTATACATGCGAGTGGAGAGTAACCGGACATGTGACTGTTGTACTCTCGATATTAATTTTGAACCTGCGCAATGATAATAAATACTGCAATTAAATTGATCGAGATTGGAATTATTCATAATTATCGATGCAAATCTTGTTAAAAATCCATCTATCACGTTAATTGTTTTGAATTTCATTTCCTACCGAAGATCATGAATTTTGGCGAAACGATGCGTTATTTCAAATTAAATTGCTGATTCCGATAGACCCCCTACCCCGTTTCACATCATTTTGGTATCCGAGCATGGTTATGTAGGAAATTGCATCATATTTTGCTTGCATTTATTATTTCTGTCTACAATTGCATTTTTCAAAAAAAAAAAAAAACAAAACAAAAAAAATTTCCCCCCATCATTTAGTCTATTTGGCGTGAGTAGTGCATGCCACTCCATAGTGGTCAACCTTATTAGGAGAGTCTAGCGAGTCGGACAATTTTAGAATGTATTCCAACGCATTTCCCATAGCCGACTTCATGAGTCAACTCAACGCTCTAACCCAAGCCGTGACTGAACTTCGTCAAACTCAACAAGAAGATCGTGAGAGATTGCAGAGGTTAGGAACACGTGGAGCGCAAAACAACGAACACAACAAAGAGCACATACCAGTCCGAACCTACCAAAGACGTAATGCTCAAGACCCTGATGAGCGATACCTGAAGGGCATTAAGTTGGAAGTTCCCACTTTTGACGGCCGATCGGAGCCTAAAGAATTCTTGGAATGGATCCGACAAGTCGACAATTACTTCAAAAGGTATCCACTTTCCGAAGAGAGAAGAATCAAGTTCGCGGAAATGAAGCTGACTGGCCATGCTAGCCAATACTGGGATAACTTGCAAATGACGAGAGTAGCTCGCCAAATGGCCCCCATCAACACATGGGCGGGTATGAAAGATAGGCTCAAAGAGAAGTACATACCTTTCTCTTACCACGATCGCCTTCTCGACAACCAGAACCAATTTACACAGTAATAAATCCACTAGGGATTATGTTACTCGATTTAAAGAGTTCCAAATTCAGTGTAATGCTTTGAACACTGAGAATCCACACCGAACAAATATAGAGTTGACTGAAATTTCGTGCAATGACAGCCCTCCGATTACTCTCGGAGTTACCCCTCTGATCACGGAGTTTACTGATATTGTCTCTATAGTTGTTCCTGAAATTAAAACTCCAACTCTTCCTGAACTCACTCCAGTGTCTGAAAACGTTGTTGACGCTCCCCACGAAGTCCACCCGGACCAACATGAACCCCAACATGTTCCTGATGTGGGTCCTAAAGTGATTCACTCAAATATCTGTATGGAAGTTGAATCCCAAATTGAGCATAATAAAATAACTACCATGTCAAATGTCAAACCCCCATGCATTGTCCCGACAGTCACTCACACATACACTGATCCATTTTGGGAATATATAGTGATTAGGGACACAAGTTTGAGCTCGAGTGTTTTTATATCTTTTCTCTCTCATATTAAGCGCACAAGAACACTCCTCCTTCACGCCCTTGTTTGCATGTTCATCACTATCACTGCTAGAACAGAAATTTTTTTATTCATATTAGCGAAGAAACGCCTAATTATTCCATTTGATAGAGGACGTCATGCATTTTAAATTTTTTTATTCATATTAGCGAAGAAACGCCTAATTATTCCATTTGATAGAGGACGTCATGCATTTTAGGCACTTCGTTGAGTTTGCATCTGCTTGTGATCATATTGTTCGAGTCTGCATATCATACATATTCATTTGAGTTAATTTGCATCATTTTGTTTGAATTGCATTGATCATATATTGGGGAATCAGTGATCTAACTTGAATAAATACATTGTCAACTGAAATGTATGATATGGAGTCAGGATATGATTTAAAACTGTTAATGCTGATACTTTAGATGGTTTGGACTTGTCCAAAACGGTTCCTTAAAGCCGTTTAAGATTTGACGTGATATTTATGAACTTTTCCAATTCTTGAAATAATTAATGACAACATTTATATTATCAATTTGATCATGGTTCTATTTTCAATATTGATTGATTAAACAGTTCACAATGTTTATTGGCAGTCCACTGATATAAGCCTGACCCTAGCCTATCATTTCTGAGAGCTCTCTCACTTTACCCCACTCCATATATTCACCCAATCTGCAGTGAATTTTGATAATATTTTAGATGGTGAATTTATGATGCAATCTAGCTAATGATTTGAGATGCAGGAAAATAGATGACGACAAATTAAGATGCAGGCATACTATATTAAAGATGACAAGTTTCTGCAGCCAACTCGACGGAGTCGAGTTTTCTCCCACCCGGGGAGAATGATGAGGATAATTTTTTATAATTGCTTAGTTTTGAATAAGGAAGATTTGGCAAGATTGACCAAATCTTAATTTAGTTAATTATGAGAAATTTGAGGGATTTTCTATTTTTTTGGTAGGATTTTTAATTTCGAATTTTGAATTTTTGAAATTTGAATTTTGATTAAATTTGGTAGTTGAGTGATTTAAGGGATCTGATTAATTCTGAGAGATTTCAAATTTTGTAATTGCTTTATAAAAGCATGGTTGTAATCAGAATGGAGGATGTTGAATTATTGAGAAAAAAAAACATGTGAGTTTTCTGAATGAAAATTCTCCTCTTCGTATTTGGTGTGTGAAACCCAGATATTAAAACTAGGAGTGTGAAACCCTAGTTCTCTACCCAAGTTACTACACTATCCTACCCACCCATCCAATCCCTAAACTCATCACAACCGTCCATTTTATAAAAAAAAACAAACAAAGAAACCCTAACCCTCCCCCTTGCAGCCGTCAGACCCAATCCCCTTTCCCCTCCTTCCCCAGCCCCCCTCCCTCCTTTGCCCACCTCCACCGCGAGCAATCACGGCAATCGACCCCTCCACCTCGAACACCCGACGCCGCCACTGACTTCATCCCGACGCCGTTGTTGTCGTCGTCCGCCGCCATCAGTCACCTCACCGGACAGCCCACCGCCGTCCTCACCTACCTCCTAACAGCCCGCCGCCATTCTTCATCCTCCAGTGTCGATTCGTCCTTCCTTTCCTCAGATCGAAGAAAAGACACCAAGAAGAGGATCTTTAGATCTGGTTTTGTGTGAACAGATCGGACACCGGTGGTGTTTCATACTTGATTCAGTACGACGATGGTATAATTTCGTTCTATTATCTTTCTGTTAATCTCACTTCATTAGCTAATTGCATGAATAATTTACCTCAACTCTTATCATATATTCACTGTTTAAATTATACATGCGAGTGGAGAGTAACCGGACATGTGACTGTTGTACTCTCGATATTAATTTTGAACCTGCGCAATGATAATAAATACTGCAATTAAATTGATCGAGATTGGAATTATTCATAATTATCGATGCAAATCTTGTTAAAAATCCATCTGTCACGTTAATTGTTTTGAATTTCATTTCCTACCGAAGATCATGAATTTTGGCGAAACGGTGCGTTATTTCAAATTAAATTGCTGATTCCGATAGACCCCCTACCCCGTTTCACATCAATAAGTTTCTATATTTGGTGTATCACTGGCTACTTTTGGGTCTAAGTTGCTATCTTTGATGCATCAATGGCTATATTTGCGTGGGACTATAGTTGGGTTAGTATGAGTATTTAGGGTTTAAGAATGATTTTGGAAGAGAGCAGTTTAAAACGAATCAAGGTCAATGGTTTGTGTTAAAAAACAAAAAAACTCTAGAAATTTATCTTAATTCAGCACGTTCCACGATAACTCCAGGAAACTACTAATTGGGATTATCTATGACTTATTTCCCCCCTATTCATTGCATTGAAATCTTTTAAAAAATTCATGAAAAAAACCACAAAAAGAGAATATTTTCAGCAATAGCTACAATAAATTAATTGCATGCATTTCATATAATGACGAAACATACAACAGAATTAAGACAGACCCCTTACAGTTAAGAAGTAAAGCAGAAATAAGAATAGAAAAAAAATATATCATCAACTAACTTCACAAATAAAGCTATTCCCAATTTCTATAGAGAAAAATATAGCAACATAAAAAAATGCAAACACCCACGAGTTATTCTCTACCTAAAATCGAAGAACAAGAGAAGGATATTGAAAATAGTAGCATAACTGACAAATAACAGCAACCATAATATTCTCATTTTATTTTTACAAATTTAAGATGAAAATATACCCTGCAAGGACATCGAAGTTTTTGGCCAACACCTTGAAGAAAGATCCAGAACCCATTTGCTTCCCTATTCAATCTTCTCTTTGAATGAGAGAGAGAGAGAGAGAGAGAGAGAGGAAAGAGGACTTTGAGTGGTAAATAATTCCTTTTTTTTTAAGGATTAAAGGACGAATAATGACAAAGAGAAGTTTCCGGATGAGGGTACGGGTCCCGTTCGGGCTGAAAAGCTATGAACCCGAATAACCGTTATGGACCAGTAGTACAGTAGTACTAGTACATGGGGATAAGGTTTTTTTTGGCTAAATGGCACTTAAACCTCCTCTCGTTTCACCTTTTTTGTACTAAAATACGCTAAGTTATAAAAAATTATTACATAAGTATTCTAATCATTAAAAAATCTATTATGATAAAAGTATCTCTCAATAAAAAAATTAATAAAAAGATAGAGGATATGTATCATATCATATTATATCATACTTCATACTCTTTAAGTGTGAGGTTGGAAAAAAAATTCATGATCAATATAATCATCTATCCTTTCATATATTATATTCTAATCTTATCATAGTTAATAATATATATTTAAATATTTAAAATATAAAATATTTAACAAAAATTTGATGTCATACTTCATATCATGCTCCTTATAAAGTGTGAGTTTGCTTAATATTTGTAATGGTGTTCCCATTTGCCAATAAGTAACTCATTGCCAAGCAACGGACATGTGTACTTCTGCATACAATGCCCCAATCAAGTTGGCGGTCAGAGACCAGCGAGGATTCCGACTTAGCCGACTTGTCGAGTCAACATTCTTTAATGTCGACTTGAAAGGCGGTATCAGTCAAACCTCTTGTCGAAGACGACCCGCCACAAGCCCACTTGACCATCTACTGGACGTCTTGCCAGGACGACTCAAAAGACGTTACTTCTCGGCGAAGCTAAAGGACTTCTGCCTCGAGCATCTCTCACTGGCAACGTGTCAGTATTGCATTTAATGCGTCACAGACGAATGAATCATGCCTCTAGCTATAAAGTCGGGGAAGAAAGCGGCCCCTAATCAATACTCAACAACATCATCCAACCACGGATACAACTGATTGTGTGATCACTTAACATCAATAGTTTGGCGCCCACTGTGGGGCATCTTTCTTTTTTGAGAAAACATGTCGGATTTTGAGCATGGGTCTAATCTATTTCACCCTGTAGGAACATATCAGAGCTACGTTACTCGAGCCCAGCTTGAGGAAACAACTCAGAAGCTTTCTCAGTCTCTCCAAGAGCAATTCGCTACCTTTACTAATAAACTTCTTAGCTGGCTTCCGCAGCCACAACGAGCTACCTCAGCTCTCCCCCCACCTACTAGAGACCAACGGTCAGAGACTCACACTCCTTCCGGAGCACAGCAAGTAGTCCAGCCTTGGACTCATCATGCTGCTGCTAAGCACCTGGGGATCGGGTCGAACACGCGTCCCCACCACCGCGTCAATCAGTTCGCCCTGACGAGCCTTGCCGACATCACCATCATCATCAGGAGATCATTGGTGAAAGTCCAAGCCCAGATCACTTTGGGGACCGCACCAGGGGAGTGGTCTCTAAGACTCTCCTCCATCATCGTGTCTCTCCCGCCCCCTCTGTTGCCATAGGGGCCTCTTGATACGACCGAGTGTATAGACCGGTTGCAGATTCCATCGAGGGGAACACCCCTCTCTCAGATGACTTTATGAAAGCCTCATGTGAGAAGTTCAAGATGCCTCACGTGGAGAAGTACAAAGGCGAGGGAGACCCCTCCGAGCATGTTCAGAACTATTATGACGTGATGAGCATGCTCCAAGCTTCAGAAGCAGTCATCTGTTGATAATTCCCCATCACTCTTTCAGGAAGTGACAAGCTCTGGTTGATACGGGTGTATCTTCTCTTCGGGAGCTTAGCGATCCTCATGGGAGCTTGAGGATAGAAGATTCTCATGGTATCTTGAGAATAGAATAGAGGAGTCGTGGACAAGGCCATTAGAGGCGACGAAGTCGAAGGATTCGTCAAAACTGCAGGATTTACAGTTGGACTCTGGCCGGTCGACCGGCTTGGTCACGGCGGTCGACCGCTTAGTGCACAGACCCAGACTATGTCTCGGGACTGAGAGCGGTCGACCGATGGTGGCGCTGCGGTCAACCGAAAATATTGTAATCGATTTTTCCAGTTTTCGTCGTTCTGACCGGTCGACCGCCTTGGGCACTGCGGTCGACCGCGTAGCGGTTCTGGGCCTGGGTCTGTTTCCTGCTCCAGTTGGGATTTCTGTTTAGTATAAATAGAAACACGACTTTTCTAGGGTTTAGACGGAGATTGTAATCAGAAAAGAGATCAGGGAGGTTGTTCTTTGATCTAGAGAGATTGTGAGAGAGAGATTTTGTAAATCCAATTGATTCTCATAATCTAGATAAGGTATTTTCCTTCGCCCTAAGTATAACTCTTGTGTTCTTCAGTTGTTTTCTTCTTTACCCACTCTTAATAATTCCGCGATCAAGAGTGCTCGCACGGCAACTCGTATCAAGTTGGTATCAGAGCGCTAGATCCTGTGAAAGGGGGAACTGTGTATGGTCCTTACTCGCTCACAGTACAAGAAGCTTGGCGAGATCCTTAATTCCTCGGAGGGGGTCCAGAAATTAAGGAAGGAGAAGATGTCTGAAGCAGATAATTCAACAAGACTTGATGCCATGGAGAAGCAGATTGAGACAATCAGGACGACTCTTACCCAACTCGTGGACCTCATCAACGGAGGAGACAAAAAGGAGGAATCTTCTTCGAAGGGTAAGAAGGGACTCTACGAATCCAATGAGGAGAGCGAGAAAGCTGATTCAGAGGGGGAGACTGAGATTGTTAAGACTGCTGGACATCAAGGGGGTAAGAATCATTACCAGAATCTGAAGATTGACTTCAAGGTTGAGATTCCTGTTTATGATGGGAGTATCAATGTGGAGAAGCTTGATGATTGGATCGAACGCATGGAGATGTACTTCACTCTCTATGGATATTCATCCAAGGAGAAAATAGTGTTCGCGACATTGAAGCTTTCAGGGCACGCGTTGACGTGGTGGAAATCCTATTGCAAACAGGAGAAGAAAGCGGCGTCGTGGAACAAGTTCAAGGAGCTACTTCGGAAGCAATTTTATCCAGTGGGGTTCCTTGAGGAGCGTTGGTACAAATGGTATGGCTTGCGCCAAAAATTTAATCAGACCGTTCAAGAGTACACGACGGAGTTCCAGCAACAAGCGATGGTCCTAAACATCGCAACGTCCGAGTACCCCATCTTCATGAAGTACATGGCGGGTCTGAATGATTACATCCGGAAGGAGATGAAGCTGTTTTCAGTGGAGATAATCGCAGAGGCGAGCGTGAAAGCCATTGCCATTGAGGGCCGACAGAAGAAGGGCAATGAGACAAAGGGGGATTCCAAACCATCGGGGAGCAAGACGGGTGGCTCTCAGTCTAAGGATGAGAAGAAGAAGGTTGACTCGGGGAAAGCAGGATTGACATGCAATCACTGCAAGCAGACAGGGCATGTGGCTGATCGTTGTTGGGATAAGTATCCTCATCTAAAGCCAAAAGGATTGAAGAAGAAGGAGAAGAAGAAGGCGTACGTGATAGCACAGGGTCCGAAGGAGGTTCCCGGGATGACCGAACCCAATAGCAGTCTCAACCTTATGGCGGGGAAGCAGGCCACCAAAGAAGATGACGACCCGAGGGAGCAGCTCTTTGTTCTGAAATTGCAGGTCAAGACCAGTTTAGTGGATGCTATCGTAGATCCAGGGAGTCAGAAAAATCTGATATCTGAGGTATTAGTACAGAAGGTAGGATTGAAGACGGTGAAGCATCCGAAGCCCTATCCATTAGGGTGGATTCATAAGGAGGCGGGATTGAGTGTGGTGAACCAGTGTTCATTCAGATTTGCACTCCATGAGTCGTATATTGACGAGGTCACATGCGACGTGGTTCCGTTGGATGTTTGCCAAGTTATTTTGGGCAATCCTTATTTGTGGGATAGATACGCAGTATATGATCGGCGAGCCCAAAAGTACACGTTCAACAAGGATAGCGAGCAATTCATTTTTCGTTCAGCATCTCTTCCACAGGAGACGAGCTTGGTGACAGTGACTCAGGCTAAGAGGTTGGTGAACGCGGACAGGAAGTTCGTTTTATTGTTTATTCAGCCGTATGAAGAGCAGCTGAGTAGGATGTGCTTGTCCACCTTGAGCAAGCTCCAGGAGGGAGATCTTGACAGGTTAAAGGTCAAATATGCGGACTTGTTTTCAGAGATCACGGGACTACCACCACGTCGAGGTGTAGAGCATAAGATTATGTTGACCGGGGAGAGTTCCTTGCCTAACATAGGCCTATACCGCACATCAGTACTGGAGTCCGAGGAGATCAAGAAGCAGGTTCAGGAGCTCTTGGAGGCGGGAGTGATTGTGCCAAGTTGTTCGCCTTGCGGGTCACCAGTGTTGTTGGTGCCCAAAAAGGATGGAGGCTGGCGCATGTGCATGGATTACCGGGCGCACGAAGCTGGATTTGAAGTCTGGTTACCATCAGGTGAGGATTCGGGAGGAAGACACTTGGAAGACTGCGTTCAAGACCAAGCAAGGCATGTTCGAGTGGTTGGTGATGCCGTTTGGATTGTGCAATGCTCCGGCTACCTTTATGAGGCTTATGAATGATTTGTTGCGACCCTTTATAGAGGATTTTGTGATAGTTTACCTTGATGATATCTTGGTGTACAGCAGGACTTGGGAGGAGCATCTCGTTCATGTTGAGAAGGTATTTGAAGTGTTGCACGATGGACAGCTGAAGCTCAACGGGAAAAAGTGCGAGTTCGGGAAGGACGAGTTGGTGTATCTCGGCTTCATCGTCAACAGGAAAAAGTGTGAGTTCGGGAAGGACGAGTTGGTGTATCTCGGCTTCATCGTAGGAAAGGGCCAGCGGAGGATAGATCCAGGCAAGGTGGAGGTGATCATAAAGTGGCCGACGCCGAAGACAGTGACTGAGGTGAGGAGCTTCATGGGGGCTTGCCAGTATTTGCGCAAGTTCATTCGACATTATTCGACTTATGCGGCACCGTTACATGGCCTCACAAAGGCTAAAGTTTAGTTT